ATATTTCAAATGTTTGTTTGTTTAGAAATGTTAATTTATGAAAATGAGGTTTTTCTTGATTAATCGAATTATTAAAAAAAATCAAGATCAATTGAGTACTAAAATGATTGAGGAATGAATCAATAACTAAAATAGTTGATAGATTAAGAGATAACGATCGTAGGTGCATCCCTAATTATTATAAGATGTAGTTAAAGTTTTATTTACACAAACTTTAACCTTATATCAGAAGCAGTGCAGCACAAAATGCGAAATGCTATTTATCTATATTGATAGATATAATTCCCAAAAGTATGAATTCAATAATTGTTCAAATATGTCAAACGGAGCTGAAACAGAAAAGCTTTTACCGTTTTTTTTCTTACGTTGTTTCAACAACCCAATCGTTTATGTGTTTCAATAAGTTCACTGATTTACACTGATTTAAAAATTCTAGTGCCACATAAACACCTGCCTTGATGCAGAGATTTATTTGAAATTATTTATCAGTTATTTAAAAAATTTTAGCACAACATGAAATACAGAAACCAACTTAAGGCATTTCAATCTATACCCTGAAAAATATGAAAGTTCTTAAGAGAATTATTTTAATCAGCGAATCAATTTAAAGATGTTACAAGCTTAAACCAATATATCATTTCTATAACATGGGGTAAGGTAAAAAATAAAAATGTCTCATTAAATCATATAAAAAAGAGCAGTTGCTACAAGAGATTTGCACATTCAAGGAAAACAGAACTCAGTGCAGTTGATCCAGAGCAGTAATAAAAGATGTTATGAGATGAGCCTTGGTATTATCTGCTTCTCTATCTCAGCAGATATGGTGATACATTTATCAGATTGAATTCTGGCAACATGCACCTGATTTAAGTGGCCGTTAATCACGCCGCTTTCATTAACTCTCCCTGTCAAGCCCCTCCCTGTTCGAGCCGGTTGGCTTCAAGCACAGATCTTCCTCAGTAGATTTTTTTTCTTTCCAGCTGGTGAAGACAGCAGACCTGAATCCAAATAAAAACTACATCTTTGGCAGTCATCCACATGGTATCATGTGTGTTGGAGCCTTTGCATGTTTCAGCACAGAGAGCTGCGGATTTGCTGAGACGTTTCCTGGACTTCAGGCCACCCTGGCGATACTAGCCGGCCTCTTTAAGATACCGCTGTTCAGAGAATACCTCATGTGTGCAGGTATCTATATTTTTCCTCAGAATCTTAAAAATCTGTTTCTTTTTATCAAAAGTATATACTAAGAATGTTGAAAATGTTTTTTTGTTGAACCCTGTTTTTCTCTGACAATATCTAAAGAAGCATCCTTTAATTTCAGCCATTGTTCTGTGAAGTCCTCTGAGATTTGAAACATGTAGGGAACAAATAGCACTCTGAAGACCAGATTCATCAGCAGGTTAGCAAGTAATTATTTAGGTTCAAGGAGGCTTTTAAATAAACCCCAATTTCTTAACATCTAATAGAAGAATTTGATTAGGGGTTTTAAATCAAAAACTTTTGGCACAACAGTAAACGTAGTAAAAAAAAACCTGTGTCAACCAGAACCAGCAGGCAAAAAGTTTATAGTAACCCAGGCAGAGATGGTATGTTCCCAGATTAACCGTTTAGCACGCACTCGTTGGTAGCTGACACAACTAACAACTGAGTGCTAAAAATTAGAACGTAGACTGAAGTGAGAAACTCAACAGCTAAAGTTAAACACGGAGGTGGCAGCATTATGCTGTGGGAGGTTTTTCACTGGAAAAACAAATTTAAAACATAAGTAAAAAAATTAATATATATATATAAATGGCCTTGCCCTTCATTTGAGCAAGAAAATAAGATGATCTGGATCATTTTGGCCTTAAAATAAAAATAATTAGATATTATGAACTTGAAACAAGATAAATAAGAGTTTATTTTGCTTCTCTCAATTGTTGCTGTGTTTCTAAGGAGGCTGTTTGAAGGCGATTGACGAAGAGAAATTCACTCAATTATTTTAAAGATGTTCAGATCATCAAAGCACAAGCTCAATGTTAGTCATATTGTTCTGCATATGGGGAGTGATTTGGTGCTTTTTTCGGGCGTTTCAATTAAAATAAACAGAAAAAAAAGACTGGAATAGCACCTCTGATCCAGTCTTTTACTAACTGATCTTAAAATCATCTCATTCTTTTTTTCAAATTTTCGGAATTACCTGCAAAAAGCAAGTGAAAATGAGGGAAAATTGGACTTACTCGCATTTCAGTTTTTGCTGTTAGATCAACAGAAAATACATTACTGAGAAGCAGAAATTCATCATTTCAATAAGGGTTTAAAGGAAAACCAAAATTCAAAATCTGGTGAGACTCAGAGAAAAGCTATGATAAGAAAATTTTTTTATTGACCTGAATTAAATAAATTATTTGGTGCTTTGGCCCTGGCATAAGATTTTGATGCTGTGAATTTCATTCACCTGAACGAATAACCTAGGAATAAGATTAAAGTAGTCTTCCCCCAAGGCCCAGATACTGGTGGGGGAATAAACTGGATGATGAGTGCTAGCGTCGGCCTTGGCCTCTAAAAGTCTCGGCCTTGTTTCAGTCTCGGTACTACTGTACTTGGTCTCGGTTGGTGTGGTCTTGACTAGACAACTAATGACTAGATTGTCTGAGGATAGTCTAAGAGTGAGGGAGGAGATAGTGTGAAGGTGGGTCTCATAGTAACCCAGGCTCCTTCCGGATTAAATTTCTGCATATGCTTCATTTAGCCCACTTTAGTCTGATACCCCTAAATATAATCCAGAGTTATTTACTAGAAACCTTATTAATAATTATAGTTTGCCTGTGTGGGATTTAATCTCACACAGCAAAAACTTATTGAATAGAATAGAATAGAATAGAATAGAAAATCCCTTTATTGTCCCGCAATATCTAAAAAAAGAAGTAAAAGTTTCTTAAAGTAAGCAGATTAACCCCCTAATCCGAGCTGGTAGATACTCGGACTACTCATTCCATTCTGCCAATGGAATTAGTACTTTTGCACTTAACATAAGATATTAACACCTATGATAAGATAATTGAGTTGTTTTTTTTTTTTATTTAAATGTAACTCATTTCAACGTTCAATAGTCTTACTTACCTGCTCAATCAAGGGAAAATACACTTATCTCAAGAAAGGAAAAGGCTCACACGTGTAAAACTGCATTGTCAAAATCCAGACCTGAATCCAAAGGAGGATCTTTAGCAAATCTTGAAAAAAAATAATTTTCATAAATGTTCTCTATGAAGGTGAGCTTGTAGAAAAAGAAGAAAAAAAAATTATCCAGATGTGTACAGCTGGTATCTACAGTTATGGGTGCAGCAAAACATAGCTCAAAAAATATGTTTAAAAGCAGGGGTTCCCAAAACAAGGTTCAGGTCAGAGAAACATTAACTTTATAAATCCTGAATCCTTTGCTTACGTTAGACGACCTTCTGTTGGTCTGTGCAATAAGGTCTGTGTCCAGTCAGCAAACCCAGCCTTGTCCACCTCCTCTCCAAAAGCGGGAAAGGAAACGCCGTAGTGATCGTGGTTGGGGGAGCTGCAGAGTCTCTGGCATCCTCTCCTGGAATCAACAGAGTGGTCATGAGGCAGAGGAAAGGATTCGTCAGGACGGCTCTGGAGCATGGGTGAGACAGCACAGATAAAACCTGCCGGGGCACGCTGGAGGGACGCCATCCGTAATACCTGCTGATTCTCCACAGAGCAGATCTGGTGCCCGTTTACTCGTTTGGGGAGAACGAACTGTTTCAGCAGGTGATTTTATCAGAGGGCAGCCTGGGTCGCAGGCTGCAGGATCTGTTTAAAAGCATAATGGGTTTTGCTCCATGTCTGTTTGTGGGTGAGCGCTTTGCTCTGCTGCCCTTCAGGAAACCAGTCACTACCGTTGGTAAGTATACTCGCCCCCTCCCACCAAATCACCCTTTGAACCCGCTTTATTCTCATAGCCCTTTCTTTTCAGTTGGGAGTCCAATCTCGGTGCCCAAATGTGTGACTCCGACGGATGAGCAGGTTGACCACTATCACAGGCTCTACATGGAGGCCCTGACCAAATTATTTCATGAACACAAGGTCAGCTGTGGACTTCCTGAGAGCCACAAGCTTGAGATCATTTAGACTCTTCTCAACCAAAGATCGTTTTTAACGGGCACTGATGTGAAATGACCAGAGCAGATGAAGGCTGGGACCCTGAACCCCTGGAGAAGATTAGAGGAGATCAAATCCGCCTTGTTTGATGTCACCCCTTTTTTTAATGCATTTTTAAATACAAATAAATGAAGCACTTTTGAAAGAAAAGTGAGTCTGATTTATTCAAGGAATAATGAATGATACTTTGATTAACTTGTCTTTCAAAGGCTCATGGATCAGCTGAGAAGCATAAAAATGTCAACATATTAGGATTGATTTAGAAATTGTCTTTTTCTGCTTCGGAGGATTTCCTCATTCTCAAACTTAGATTCAGATTTTTGTAGCTGTTTTATGGGCAAAGATTATTAAACATTTGCTTGTTTCTCAGCTTTTTTCGGTTTGTGGGAAGCATGAGGTTTTCCTCTGCTGATACACTTAAGTGGAACTATTTAATATGGAACCTTGATGGATGATATGAGATCATAAAAATCTGTATTATTTATAGCGGGTGTCACTTTCTCTACTCTGTGCTTTTGAATCTATGAATCAGACTCAGCATCACTGTCAATCATTTCTCCAATTAAACTAAACTGTTTCCCCATTTTAGTTCATTTAAAAAAAATCATTTAAAAAAAAACATTTCAAACTCTTGTTAGACAGAAGGTTTCTCTCAGACCTCGGGAGCTTAAAACCTCATCATTAAGTATATTAGGAACCATTTTAGTGAATACTTGTGTATTTTACAGTATACCAATATAAAGTATACAAACTTTTTAAATGTACGAGTAAAAGCTAGAAACCTACATGCCTAAGACTTATTCTGCTTTTCATTTTGAATGAACTTTTAAACCATTTTCATTTTATGTATTTATTACCAGAGGTGGGTAGTAACTTGTTACGTTTACTTGTGTTACTTTTAGCGCGTACTGTAGTACTTTTACTGTACTTTTCCTAGTAATATTATTTTTATCGTATCGTTACTCTTACTTGAGTAAATTTTCTGGTAACTCTACCTACTATGAAAAATAAAGATCAGGTGAAAATACATTTAACAGCAGATAAGTAGTTTATCCTTTAATATACGATCCTTACTTTATAGATTCAGTTGATAAGATAAATTAAAGAAAAATATATGTCAAAAGTGTTTCTGCTGCACAATTATTATTTTTGTTTTGTAATTATGTTATTTATTGCATACTTTGAAATACCATAATTTGCACATCACTGATTGTCTGATTACATCCATTCTGAACATTTAATGGAAAAAAGATTCAAAAACTACTCAGTCCTTTAGCAGTTATTTTATCGATAACTTTTTAGTACTCTTTGAGTTAATTATTGGATGTCTACTTTCTACTTTTGAATAAAAAACGATAAAGGTATTTGTACTATGAAGTAAAATTTTGCGATACTTTGCCAATTTAAGAACAGGTTTCCTATAAAAGTGTTTTTGATTTACGCATACTTTACATTTAACATTTATATTCTAAAATGGGATCATTTGAGCCAGAAAATAACAAAGCAACGCTGAGTAACTTTATGAATCAATAATTAGCTTATTTTCACATATGTAATATAATTTGGCCCATTTTTCTTCTTTTCAATTTTTTTATTTGGATTTGAATCTATTTTTTAATCTGTGATTGAAGGCTTATTTTCATTATGTATGTATATACAAACTTATCAAAACATTTTTTAAAGTGTCCTATCCTCTTAATGAGTCATGTGACCCAGAGAACCGCTTTACGGCAGTCCGGACTCCCATTAAACACGAGCACTGAGCTAAAAGCTATTGCTAGCCAACAAACAGATTTGGCCCTCGCCTGATCAGAAAAAAAAAATTTTTTTTGGTTCTCTGATGTGGGATTTAAGTTGAATGTAAATATATCTTTACCAGGAAGTCCATGACTTTTCACTGTGCTGCTCCAACGTGCTCTGCTAGCAGATTCCAAAACACCGAAGGAGAGCGTTTAATTTTGCGACAGTAGTGTCGCCAGTGTCATTTTCAGTGTATTTGAACATGGAAGTGGAGCGCCCCTAGTGGCTAAAATGTAGTATGCTTTAATTCTAATAGGGTTCGCCTTATTTTTTTGGTACTTTATTTCTATTTATTATGAATAATATACTTTTTTTTCTTTAAATACAATAAACAGATTTGTATTGTGGCTGCATTATGCTGTGAGGATGCATTTATCCATACAGGGCAATGACAGGAAGAATTGACAGTAGAGGCTTAAAAGGTTTACCGTTCCAAAGGACACCTGCTTTTAAATGTCTTATTTTGTAATATTTTCAAATAATGAACAGAACGCTTGTAGTAAAGCGGATGGATGGAGCTAAACGTGGTTGAAAAATTGTAACTGCCTGGTTTCTGTATGTTAAGTCAAAAAAAAAAAAAAAAAATCCATCAGTGAACCAATTAATCCACACATGCAGCAGATTAAAACAAGCCAAACCACAGCAAAGTAGGCTGGTTTACAGCAGTGCTCACAGATTTGTTTTTCTTTCAAACGTTTTTTTATATTTGGAATTGAAAATTCTGTTAACTTTTTAATTGCTGATGTTAAATTGTTGTAAATCTGAGGACTGTCCAAATGATTTATATTCAGGTCGTCTTTATTCAGTATTTGCTGCTCCGATTGTGCAGCTCCCAAGCTTTTAATATCATCCTGCTCACCAGGTGTCTGAAAAGGCCACAGATGTATTTAAAAAAAATCAACCCTAAAAAGAAAAGACAAACTTAAGAAATGATCAAAACTTCACAACTTTTATGTCTCCAGTATTTTACAGTGGTGCCATCTCATTGTTCTTTGGTCTAAAACCTGGGCTTGACTAATCATGGTATTTTAAACCTGTCCTGATCTCAAGAGAAGACTGTTAATGTGAACTAAAGTCCTTTCAGTTAGATTCAACTTCTCAGATCAAACAAAAAGATCTGATGCCATAACTTAACACATAGACGTATTTCAATAACTTTATTGATTATCAGTTTACAGCTGTTACAGGAGCCTTTCATAGAGCCAAACAACGGTTACAAAATGAAACATCAATGAAAGAAATACTGCATCGACAAAAAGGGAAATAAACAGGCAGAACACAAAGCAAGTGAAAAGCTGAGGCAAAAAAACAGGATGGGTTGACCAGCTAGAAGAAGTCTATATCATCTGGTGCATCTAGGTCCCGATATTCTATGATATTTCGTGGATCTCCCCGGGACATTCTGAGAAAAAAAAAAAAAAAGAAGAAAGAGATAAAATGAAAGCTAAAAGTTTAGAAATCCATCACAGTTCAGATGTAAAATGTCTGGAAGCGTAGTAAGTAGTGCTGTATTATCACCTTACCGGATGTTACGTGGCTTTCCCAGGTAGCCACCTTGTCCACGGAAGTTGTCGTAGTTTCCTCTGCCTCCTCCAAACTGGTTTGGAGGATAAGGGGGCCCACCTTTGGGAAAAAGAGAAAAAAACGTAAGGGTAAATTATAGTTCTTCCCTCACAGGATGTTCTTAGTACCAAAACAGAGACAATCGTAACCTACCATAACCCATCAGAGGTGGACGAGGCTGACCGAAGCCCATTGGACCCTGAGGGCCTTGAGGAGGGAACGGCAGAGTGGGAGAAAGCAAACCTGTACATAGAAACCAGAGAGAAATTAGACACTGGTGCCAAGTTTTCCACTGCAGACTCAACTAAACCAAATTCCTCTCATTTTAGAAGGGTTGGAAACATCCTGATGAATAACACCAAGTAGGCCAACCTTGCCCAGGACCTGGAAGAGGTGGAAGTTTCATCTCTGGCAGCGATGGTCTTTTGGCATCCATGAGAAAATTGTTGAAAAACAAAACCTCCTTTTTCACTTCTTCGATTTTCTCCCCGTGTTTGTTCAGGATGTGCTTCCGAACGAACTCTGGACCCTAAATTGAATTAGAAAGCAACAAGCATCATAGACTGAAACATAAATAACGTTCATAGAAAACACATCAAATTAACATCTAATCTCTTTCCACCGAGCATCCACCTTGAATTTCTTGCCACTGAGAGGGCAAAGCCATTTGTCCTTCCCCAGCTCCTGGGTGTTTGCAGATATAAACTTCTCCACCTCTTCGTCAGGGTCCTTGCGACCCATCTTCACAGCCTCTTCCTCAGAGAGGACTTCCTTTAGGTTAAATAAAGGCATCAATTTCTCCTCTATCACCTTTTCCCACTGTTGCACTGTTAAAATAACCAGACAAGCAGAAATATGTGAGTTTAGTTCAAGAACCATTTCAATATTGTATGAAACACTAATTGTCTTTAAAGATCTAGAGTAGAGTGACATCTAGTGGTAAAAGACAAAATCGCACAAACAATGGGTTCCTGGATATTTTCAAGGACTTGTTTCTATTCCTTGTTGTTTTTGTTTTTTTTAATCAGCATTTGAGGTTATCTTATCTTCAGGTCATTTTTAGGCACAACACCAAATGTTTTCATGGTTATCAGGCTGAAAACGCATATTTAACGAAAAAGGACCAAAACTGTTGAGTTTATTGTCTAAAAAAATAGATTCCTCAGAAGTGATTAGTTTAACGGGCAAACATCATACAAAATCCACTTTTTTAGCCTTTGAATCTTTTTTTAAGTGAGCTAATAATCTCTAAGAGTACAGAAAAGTTGGCAGTCACCTTTATATTCTACAAGGATCATCATTTTCAATCTGTTCAGTTTCTCTTTTCTCTAGTACATTTGTTGAACATTAATGTCACAATATAAATGCTAGGTTTATATATTAACCCACAGAATTCATTAGATAATTGCATCTCTGCTCTAAAACAATAAAAATAATCCATTGGGGAGGGAATAGTCTGCGACCTGCATGGGGGGGACGGGTGTGGAGTGTATTAAAGAGACCACACCAAAATGGGTGTGTTCAGGGCTTAATTTACCTGCTAGAAGAAAGGGAAATAGACTTATTTAGAGAGATTTTTACCTATTTAGTTCCACTTAAGTGTGTCTGAACTTGTAAATTTAAATCAAAAGGTGCAAATAAATTGAAGGTTTGTATTTGTTTCTGGTTAGCAAATAAAATACATGCCATTCTCAAACAACTTTCAGGTGCAATACCGCCATCAACTGGTAAGGAGGGGAACAGCTTCATAAAAGGTTGTAGATTTGTAATCTTAGACTTGTGACTTATCATTTTCAAAGTTGCAACTGTAACTTTTATTCTTTAATGTTAAACCCATTCTTATACATGAGGTATCTGGTGTCACATAAACATACGAGATGAAAGCAAGGAACAAATACAAATCTTACATTTATTCACGTATATTGATTCATATTTTTATTGACAGTATTGAAATAAGAGCAAAGCCACCAACCTTCTCCATGTGTTACGCGGTTGGGGGGAACTGGGCCTCGGACATGGATCATGCCACAGCGGTTAGGCATTTCATCCTCACTGGGGTATTCACAGGTGTTATAGTAATCAACTGAATGCACAATTCGCAGATACAAGAGCAAACGATCCAAAACCTGAAAACAGAAAAGTAACAAGGGGCTAATTTTGATTTGGAGTTTCTCTAGAAGTGTTTTAATCACTACCATCAGTAAAGTGTAGTTTGTTGTTTTCCCCGGACATGTGTAGTTTTATCATGAAAACAAACCTTGGCTAGCTTATCATCCCTCTCCACAGTTAACTCAGCAGGGTTTCCCTCCTTAGCGCTCTCCTCGGGGTCCATTCCGCTGCCAGAACCCAGGAGCTCCTCTTCCTCAGCGCTCACCTCCTCAATCAGGTAATCAGTGATGTTCTTCAAGATGGGGTTCTGAGCCGGCAACTTTATTCAAAAACAAAAACGTCCATACGCATTAAACACAGCTGGCTTATCAAAGGAAAGATCCAGCTGTTAATAAAAGCTCAGAGGCCGATAAATTTATGCAAACCTCGGTGCTCTGACCGTCCTCCTGAGCTTTGTTGCTCCAAAGGTCTCCCTTCTCATCCAAAGCATGAATTAGCTTAGCAGCCAGCTTGATGTCGTTCCGCAGCACCTGCTTGTGCTGAGTGATGCCGTTAACATTACGCACCCTCCGGGCCAAGTCTCTGTTCACCCCTGGAGCCAGTTCACAGTCTCTGAGCTGTGAGGGATGAAGAGCGGAACCAAACATGGAGGCAATTATTTCAGATAAAAGAGTAGACCAACAATAATAAAAAAAAAAAAAAAACATATAAAACAAGTTATATCATCAACATAACATGAGACTTAAATAAAATACTATTTAAATTGTTTGTTAAAAATAACAGAGTCTCTGGATTATGGCTTTATGGCTGTAAATCAAAGCGAACGAAAACCTACGCGTATATTCTGAAGGTTCCAGCAGATTTCCTTGATGTTGACGCTGCGATCAAATGTCACCCAGCACCGTCTGAAAAACCTGACATGGCCCAGATTTCATTAGAAAACAGAAAAAAACATTACTGACCCACCAACGGGTGAGGGAGGGGATTCAGCATGAAAGCAATCAGGTAGAGACAAGACTAAAAAGCAGTAAAACTTTGAATAAACTGAAAAGGTAAACCAATATTTCGGAAAATAAACACTGCAATAAAAAATTACTCCAATCAAGTAATGATCAGGATAACAAAACCAACAGGAAAACAAAGAAAAACTTTGTGAATTATAGCTTGGTTGTTAAAAAAAGCAAACACAACTGCAAGATCACTCCAGCAAAGCTTCAACAAACAAAGGATAGCTATAACTAAGCCTGAAATGATTAATTGGATTAATCATCATAAAGTGATTACTAAAATAATCAACTAATTTGGTAATCAAATGATTATCCAGAGCAATGGTACACAGACTCTAAAAAACCACTTGCTAAAAGACCAAATCACTTAGAGCATTAAGACAAAACTCAAATGATATAAATTAAAAACATCTATAAACAGAATATCATATATATTCATAGGATATAAACATATCTATTTCAAATGTTACTTTACTTAGAAATGTTAATTTACTTAAAGTATTTATTTTTAGCTAATTCAACTAATCCCCCTCCAAAAATAAACGAGAATAGATTTTTCAGTTAATATAATCGATAGGGGCAACCCTACTTTTGACGTAAATGAAGCACATTGTTAGCTATGGGCATTTTTTCTGATCAGCAAACCTTTATTGCATTTACCAAGTTTCCATTTACAAAAAATTTTACATAACATGTTTTTTTTTTTATTTCTGTGAATAAAACCTTTTTTCCCTAAATTTCTAATTAATTAAATCTTTTGTGTTTTCTTTCTTTTGTTTTGAGATTTTTTCCAAATTTATATTTACAAAATATGTTTTGTTTTTTTATTCATATTAAACAGCTTCCAACAAAGCCTTGTTTGGCTTAGAATTTGCATGTTTTCTAAGCCATAACAGTTTTTGGTCCACTCTATAAAGCCTCAAACTCAACGCTATTTCTGACATTTTGGATTGAAAAATTTTCCTGAATGGGAAGTTAAACGTCTCCAAATTGGAAACAAAGTCCAGTAGATTGTTAACTTTTTGGTAATTTAGTCCCGGTTGAATAATGTGGGAAAGGTGAAGGTGGATAAAGAAAACTGTAAAAGTAAAAATAAAGAATAGTTCTTTCTAACCTGCGTTCTGGGTGAGGGTCAGACAAGCAAACACGTAAAAACCCAGGATATCGTCGACAAAGCTGTGGGGTAAAAGTAAAACAAATGAAACAGATTCTGAGTTTCAATAACGACAAATATCAAGTGCATGTCAGCAGATAAACGAAGGGAGCCATTTTCCAGCTTACAGCAACAATCTCGGCCTTGGAAATGGTGGGAGCAATGCTCCTCATGAACAGGGAGAAGGTCTTGTGCAGCGGCCGTGGTCTGGGGGAGTCGTCTTTGGGTTTCTTCTCTTCCTTCTTCTCTTCTTCGTCGTTCTGCTTTGGTTTCTCTTCTGCAGGCAGCAAAAAGGAACATTAGATAATTCTGAGTGTCCTGAGACTCAAATGCTGCGAATCAGATACCTCACCTTCTCCCTGCTCCTCCTCCTCCTCATCCTTGTCTTGCTCTTCTTTTTTCTCTGGTTTGTCGGAGCAGTCGGAGTTCGAGTCAGAGTCTGAGTCAGATTCGCTCTCTGAGGCGCTCGCTTCGTCGTCGCTGTCCCCGCTACGCTTCCTCTTTCGTCTTGCCTGACAATTAAAAAGAAAACCCGAGATGTTTGGTTGTTTTCGTTATGGCTGATGTGAATACTTCAAGTAACTGAGGAAAAAATAACCTTCTTGGGTTCAGGCTTCTCCTCTCTGACAGCTTCTTTTTCCGCCTCCTCCTTTACATCCAGTCCGTCTGCTTTGGCCTCAGCTCCGCCCGAGTCGCCCTCCTCCTGGAGCAAAACGCCATTATTTCCATGCCCCTTTCAAACCATCGTTTGCCAACAGAAAACTTCACAGACCTTCTCAGTTTTGTCTTTCTCGCCTGAAGGCTTGCGCTGTCGGTCCACTGCTTTCTGGTCTTCCCTTCTTTGAGATTCCCCTCCTCCCCCAGAAGCCGATGCAGACTTTTCCCTTTCTTCCTCTTCTTCAGGTGGCATGTCCAGAATGCGGAGATCATGGTCAGTCCCTCCTTCCATCTTTATCACGGCTGAGGGAAGAATAAGAAGTGATGGTGAAGTAATGGAAAGGTTTGTAGCAGGCCGTCATTCCGACCTGATGCTAGTCACACACTAGGTTGGTCTCAGCAACTTATAAACGCAGCTAGAAATGAACACATATCTTCCATATTTACATAAACTCAGGTGTCAAACATAAACATTCAAACAAGATATTAGTGAATATTAAGACAGACACTTTCCGTTAAAAATGGAAATACAAGAACAGAAGAAAGGACATTACAAAGAAAGAAGGTTTACAACCTTTAGACTGGTGGGAAAAAGTCAAAAGTCAAATTAAAGTAACTTTTTTTTTTCTTTCTGGAAAGCGCTTTGAGATGACGTGTTTTGATTGGGTGCTTTATAAATAAACTGAATTGAATTCTTTCCAATCAATCAACTAATTTGAACAAGACTATTTTAGTAATATAACATACATTGATAGATAAGTGTTGGGAATAAACAGAATTTATCACTGGATTGTAAACAGCTATAAACTGTCTGAAAAAATAATGAAATATTCAAACAATACAGACAAGGAAAGATTCACCCCTCCAGATTAAATCCAACATTGTAGAAGCAGGAAGTTGTGATCAGGTAAAAGTCAGATCAATTTGGTTGGCTAATGCAAAATTGTTGCTAAGCTAGCCACCATTTTAAAGCATTCACATTACTCCTTCAGTGACGGAGCCAACCTAAAACCCGACAGATTTATCGACAGTACAATTTTAGCTTCTGACTCAATCAACACCGGCCAAAATGTGGCTGATATAAAAATTTTATTTTTGCTGCAAACAGCTGAAAGAAACTTCAACTTCCGCCCGTCCCTGCACACACCCACAGCTGCTGCTAGCATAGCGCGGAGGTGAATACAGAGATAGAATGTATGCAGTTTGCAAAGTGGGAACCTGTGATTTTGTAAAACTACACTTTTACACTCATGACGACAAACGTCCTCATGGAAACACGCTGTAAGGGCACATTAAGGAGAGCAAACGAGTTTTATATGTGCTAGTTTTGATGAACATATTGCATTTTAGCTCTTTGTTAAATAAACATAATTTAATAACACTAATATGTGGTGTCCCACATCAGTTCACTCTGACATACAGGCTCATAAATACAGAAGTTAATGTTTTCAGTAAAATAATTTTTAAAAGGCTCCAACTTCTGTATTTAGTTTTAATTCTGTTTGGATGTTTTAAAAGCTGCAGCATTGCTGCTAAAATCTAGTTTAGTCCCTTGTTTTCAGTGGAGGAGGGAACTTTTTAGTAGCTTGTAAATATGACAAACTTATAACACTGAGGTGTTATTTAAAGGAGTCTTAAAAATAAATCAAATACTAAACATCTCTCATTAGCATCTCTCTTATCACTTTAAGCTGTATGCAGCCACTTTTTTCATCTTTAAATGCTCATCTGTAAAAGTGAAATCTAAATCCAATACTACATTCTTTTACCCCAAGTTACCGTAAAAAGTAGCCGTCAAAGAAATGTTCCACATCAAAGTAAAAAAGTATTTGATAAAAAAGCTACCGTATTTTCACGACTATAAGGCGCACTTAAACGTCTTTTTTTCCCCTCAAAATGTGCGGT